TGTCCCAAAAATAAATAAAACGTTGAAAAAAAAAATTTTTAAAGCCAGTAGATATATAAGAATATATAGCTATGGTAAGTACAGAAAAGTAAACAAACAGGGGGTTGGGGCAAGGATCCAGGAAAAACAAAAACTGTACAAGAAAGTCAACAATAACATTACCCTGCTTGGATTAGTGGTGAACAATATTTACACGATTATCATGATATAAAGCAGAGCAGAGATTTAACAAAAACACTGGCAGTAGAATGACGGTCGAGGGAGTGCATAAAAGGCAAATTTTCATCTACACAACAGGTAGTCAACAGACAATGTCTAAGGGAATTAATCAAGAGGCGGCAGCGTGAGCAAATTACTTAGAAATACGGTGGTAACCCACCGTATATGGTGCATAATATACAAAAACCGTCAGACGCAGGTGCAAACACACGCACACGTGACGACAGATTCACCCCCAGACACAGAGGCCCCCCGTCGGCCTCCCAGAAAGCCCGCTGGAGAGCAGGGCCACACGCTGCAAGGACAGCACCTCCTCTGGGCCTTGACTCTCCCAGCCGGGATGCATCAGCCCCAGAACTGCCCCAGGCAGACGTTTCGTTCTCTCTCTCTCGCTAATTGTCTTCTCTACTCAGTGCCCTGCCCTGAGGCTAAGCAGCCTGAGCCTCTTTGGCCGTTAACCCTTTGGGGCTACAGGGTCTGTAAATGGTGCAGGAATGAGAAGGGAGAGGGGCCTGAGCGGGCAGCTAGATGTGACCAATAATGCCACCTTCATTCAGCTTTTAGTGGAGGCCTCGGGTCACGTAAGAACCCACGGACAGGAAGCCTGTGCACATGCTGTGCATCCTTGAGCAAGTCACCTCACCTCCCTGGGTGCACGAGGAGGTGGGCGATCTATGAAGCTCTGAGATGCGAAGATTTAATGTCCCAGGCTGGGCCCTGCTCTCATGCCCTCCCCTGGGATCCCTCTCTCCATGCCGACAACCAAGGCCAATCCCAAAGGATATGTGATTTGCAGGGCTGACAAGTTTACTCAGGGCACCTGGGGAGTCCCTCACCGCCACTTCCCTCCCCTTCCACGTTCCTCCAGCACTCACCACCACCCTGGTCCCGTTATCTGGCAGTGTGTCAATGGCCAGGGTGCCCCCACCCGGGTCTTGGCTCAGCTGGGTCCTGTCCGACTCTGATGCCTGCCCGGGGCTCTCTCGGGCTCTCCGACTCCATCCCTGCGTGATCCGCTTGGCAGCCCGCCCAGAGCTTCCGCCTGCATCCTGACCTGGGAGAAGGAGACAGTAAGCTGAGTCCCGGCAGTCCAGAGTGAAGGTCCAAGCAGGGGAGCAGCCCATTTACTCTGCAGAGGCCCCAGCACCATGCCATCACTGACCGTGGAGACAGCTGCCAGGGCAGGAGACACCCATTGTGCACTGAGCGCCACGTGTCGCCTCCGTGCCACACACTCTGCACACAGCACACCGTTAGACCTCACCCAGCCCTCCGCAGGAGATAAGATGCTCTCCATTTTGCAGACAGGAATCAAGGGCTCACAGAGGTTAAAGAGAGTCACCTGTTGGGTTAGGGAGGGAGATAAGTTCCAAATGTCCAAAGGGGTAGTTATTCTCAACCTCTGCTGCACACAGAATCATTGGAGGAGCTTTAACAATTCCTACTGTCTGGTTCCCACCCCAGAGATCCTGATATAATTGTTCTGTGGTGTGGCCTGGGCGTTAGGATTCTTAAAATAATCCCCAGGGGAGCTTTGGGGAAGCCCTGAACCTAACTCTGTAGACAAGGGTGAGCACCTTTGCTCTGGAACATTCCAAACCAGTTCCTGATTTCTCTGCCAGAAATGGCGCATAATAAGCTCATCTTCCGGGAGACTCCAGGGACTAGAAGTCAGAGAGTAGAGTTCTTTGAGTTCAGGGCTTCTCAACATTAGCACCATTGACATTCTGGACTGGAGAACTCTTGGCTGTGGAGGCTGTCCTGAGCATTGTAACATGTTCAGCAGCATCCCCGGCCTCTGCCCACTAGATTCCAGTAGCACCTCCTCCCAGACTGTGACAATCAAAGATGTCTCCATAGCGGGGACCACTGTGTAGTCCTGTGACTACCTGCAAACACCTTGGGCAAGTCCCTTTCTCCATAAAACATGGAGCTTAGCCTCCATCAAAGATGGCAAATAGGTTTCATCTCAAAAGCCATCTCCAATCAATTAGTGACAGCCAGGAGTGCTCTAATCGAGACAAACCCTGAAGCCCCATCAGCGTTTAGCAGGAAAGATTGTCACGATCAATTAACGGTGTTTCCCAGGGCCCAGGATGGGGAAGTGGCCGCACTGGCCATTCAGCAGCCATTCCTAGACTCGGTGTTCTCTGTCCCGTCTAGGTCATTACCTTTATTCTGAATGGCACAGAAACCATGCTTTTCCTTTTTAGAAAGATTTGTGCCCCTAAAGATGTGTCTTATATTGTCACTGCAATTGTCACACCTACCCTGGACGTGTGTATGGGACACAGATCACCAGAGAGGTGGGTCTGATATTTCCTGTGATATTCATCGATTTCAGGCCGACCCTGTGTCCGATGCCCTTGTCCGCCACTCCCTAGAGCTTCTGGGTGTAACCCTCTTTCCTAGAGCACCCACTGGTGTAACTACATGTCTGTCCCTCTGGCAGACGAGCTCCCCCGGGACTCTCCCCACCTCCTGCAAATGTGCATTCTCAGTGTCTAGCAAACAGTAGGTGCCCAATCACTGTACCATTGAGGACGCGATAGTGGAGGTAACTCTTGGGAGCCTGCAAGGACAGAGGTTGAGACAAGGCTTGGCCAGCACCAGGCCTGGGGCTGGGGCCAGGACTCTGCTGTGGGGCCCTGGTTTGTCATTAGACATTTCATCCAATTAAGTCATTCTTGGCTGCTGGTGCTTGCTGGACCCTTGCCGGCCCTCTCTCACTTCTCTGCCCCTAATAGCAACCAGATGCTCTGGAGGAGGTGGGGAGTGGGGCGGCCCCCAGGCCCCTTCCCCAGGTTGCCCACTGGCTGAGACGGGCCTAAGCCCGGGGCTGGGAAGGCAGCCTGCCATTGGCTCAGACCCCAAGCCAAGGCCGTCTTGCCCCTCTCGGGTGGGGCCCACAGCTGCTTCTGGAGATAGAACGGTTTGTGCCGGGCTGCTCTGCCCAGCTCCCCGGGTCCTCCTGCAAGCAGCCCTCGGGCCTGGGCTGGAGCCAGAACAGGAAAGGAACGTGTGCAGAGCAAGCAGAAGGGCTTAGCCGGCCTGGAAAGGGATGCTAGAGGTCTGCACGCATCACAATCCTGCAACTGAGACAGGAGGGTGCCTGCGACGTGGGGGCCCAAGGCCTGAGAAGAGGGCTGGGAAGGGGGGCCCAGCCAAGACGAGGGGTCAGGGAAGGGACACCCGCACCCAGAAGCTGTTTGACCTTGGACCCATCTGCTTACCTCTCTGAGCCTCAATTCCCTCATCACTAAAATGGGGGTGACAATCATGTCTACAGGGCAGGCTGCCATGAGCATCAAGTGAAAAACAAATGAGAAGGCTTTAGAATTAGAGGGTTCAGGGCCAAGGTCAGAGGCAAAGAGTCCACTAAGTCGGGCAGGGAAGGGGATGGAGAGGGAGACAGCCCGGGAACCTGCCCTACCCTGGCCCGGCCCTGAGTCTGACCCTCTCAGCCCCCACGACATCTGTCTCCCTGCCACTCTTCCCCCTCCCAATTGGCGAGGACAGGACATCACCCCCTCAGCTTGTGGAAGGAGCCAACGCAGCTGGTTGCTCACGTGTGTCTGTGTGTAGGGACCCACGTGCCTGTGCACACGCAGACTTGCCTGAAGGTCTGGGCCGTCCCCCCTGCATGCTCACACATGTGTTGCATACTCTTCCAACCCTCGGCCACTCTCTGCTCTACCTTCTGTCCCGCATCGGACAGCTTCACCTTCCCAGCACCCACGTCACGTGAGTGCACCTGCCCGTGAGTGACGGCGAGAAGCTCCCGGAGATCACGCTGTTCTTTATTCATCCACGCGTTCACCCATGGCCCCAAGCAGCATGCTGTCACAGCGGCAATAGGAAGAATAAAAATGACAGCTAACTTTTCGAAAATGCTCACTCTTTGCTACCACTCTTCCAAATGCTTTAAAACACATGAACTCATTTAATCCTCCCAATAACCCCTTGAGATCGGTGCTAGTTTTAGATCTATTTTACGAATTGGGAACTGAGACACAGAGAGGTTAAGGAATCTCCCCAGGTCACACAACGAGTCCATGGTGAGATTGGCACACAGGGCAGGTTGACCTTAGGGTCTGCTCAGGCCACAGAAAGTGTAACAAGAAGCGCCCAGCGACCCCAGGCTATTTCCTAAGGTGCAGGGGCAGCCCAGGGAAGGACAGGCGTGTGGGCTGGGCTTACTGGGGACCACTGGACCTGAATTTTGGAGCTGCCCTGGGAGACTGTGTCCCCTGGCATGCAGGAGCGTGGCCCAGCAGCAGTAGAACCCCAGGTCTCTCCACGTGCCACTGTCCTGCTCTGGCACAAGAAACCACGGGCTGACTTCAGGAGGCCACGTCATGCCACCCCAGTGCCTGGCCAAGCCACCCTTGTCCCACCCATCACCCAAGCTCACCATTCCAGCCCCACGGCCACAGCCTCCGCCCTTAATGCCCTCCATCTAGTCTCTCACACTCTCTCCAGGGCATGCTTTCTAGAGGACACACGTGATTCCATTTCTCCCATGCGTCCAGCTCTCCAGAGCCCTCCAGCTGAAGGCCCTTCCTGACCGGATCCCTCCTCTCTCCTCCGCCCTCCTGTCTCCCTAAAGCCCTCGCCAGGATCCAGCCCTGCTCTCTCTGGCCACAGGGCCTCACACACGTGGCTTTCCCAGCCGGAACCACTCTGCTCCATAAATGAACCCTTCTTCTGATGACCTTTTGCTCATCTTTCAAGTCCCATAAGATGCCATCTCTCCCCAAAGCATCCCCTGACATCTCTCCTCCTCACCCCAAATGCTACATGCATCATCCCGGCCCTGATCCCAACATGTTGTGACTGTCTGTGCATCTGCAGGCTCTAGTACCTGATACAGAGCAAAGGCTTAGAAAGTACATATAGATGAAGGAAGGAAGGAAGGAAGGAAGGAAGGAAGGAAGGAAGGAAGGAAAGAAAAAACAAGAAAGAAAACAAGAAAGGAAGAAAATAAGGAAGGAAGGAAGGAAGGAAGGAAGGAAGGAAGGAAGGAAGGAAAGAAAAGAAGAAAGAAAGAGAAAGAAAGGAAGGAAGGAGGGAGGGAGGGAGGGAGGAAAGAAGGAAGGAAGGAAAGAAAGAAAGGAAGGAAGGAAGGAGGGAAGAAAGAAAGAAAGAAAGAAAGAAAGAAAGAAAAGGAAGGAAGAAGGAAGGAAGGAGGGAGGGAGGAAAGAAGGAAGGAAAGAAAGAAAGAAAAGAAAGGAAGGAAGGAGGGAGGGAGGGAGGAAAGAAGGAAGGAAGGAAAGAAAGAAAGAAAGAAAGAAAGAAAGAAAGGAAGGAAGGAAGGAGGGAGGGAGGGAAGGAGGAAAGAGAGGGAGGGAAGGAAGGGGAGGGGGATCTTTAAACGCCTTGGTTACTTGAGATCCGCAAGGCTGAGAAAACCCTTCCCCTGGGGCACAGGCCCACTGGAAACCCTCACTGCAATGCCACAGCAATAAAGGAGCACAGGTTTGGAATCACACAAACTTGAAGGTGAACCCTGAATCTACTACTTACTGACTGTGATGCTGAACAAATTACCTAATCCCTCTAAACCTCAGCTTCCTTATCTGTCAAAGGGGAATGATAAAACCTACACTTGGAGTCTTTAACAAAATACTATACACAAAGCACCCAGCAAAGTTCCCCTGCCTTCCCTGGGTTTTACGTGAGAACCAACTTTCCAAGGAACTTGAGAGAGTCTCCAGACTCTGAGCTGAAATCTGGTGCCCTAGTTACGAAGCCCCCAGTCGCATCCTCTTGCTGGGAAACCCACCGAGGCTCCCACCGTGGACCTTCCCCTGGGGAGAGGGAAGGAGGCACAAGGGATTAGCAGGAAGGGACCACCAAGTAGTCAGAGAAGAACGGGAGAGCAGAGAAGTGTGAGTTTCTCTCGAAGGGAGAGTCTGGGGTCCGTGACCACCTCTGATTCACTCACTCATTCAATACACACTCATTGAGACCCTACTGTGTGCCAGGCACTGCACTGGGTGCTGGGGCAACAAGAGGGAATGGGCAGACACAGCCCCTGTGCCCGTGAAAATTCTAGTTGGAAAAGACTCCTGCAAAATGAAGAATGTGGTGAACAAGACAGCGTGCGGTGGGGACGGGTGCTCTAAGACAGACGGAAGTGTTGGGCTTTATTTCTACCCTGGGCAGCGCCATCACGGTGGGCCTCTGTGTGGAGGAGGAGGTGGCCCTTGAGCTGAGACCTGGATGAAGAGAAGCCCGTGTTACTTGAGGACCAGAGGGGACACAGCCTGGATGTGTTGAGGGATGGACCTGGGGAGCGTGAGAGCAGGTGCCGGGATGGGGGGCGGTGGGGGGGGG